GGGTTGGTGGCAAAAACTGCCCTGTCGCAGCCTGGTAGTCCCCGACGAGAAGAGACCAGTGCCTGGGTGCGAGGCAGAGCAGTGGGGCAGGCCCGCTCGCAAAAAGAAAAAAAAAAAAAAAAAAAAAAAAAAAAAATGGAGGCGGAGATGTGTTTTCCAAGCCTGTGCCGGTCAGCTCGGTGTCTGCGGAGGGACAGGCTGGGAGTTTCCTCTGCCAGGGATGGCAATATGGAAGTCGAGTTGCACACCGATAAGGGTAGATCAATACAAATGTGTTAGTGGGGGAGAAGTTATCTGGTAAACATAATGGAGCCCGCAGCTGGGCGTGGGGGGGTGGTTTTTTGCAGATGAGCTCTAAGATTTGTCTTGTCAGCTCGGAGGAAGCAAGCATAAACTAAACTGCCACTTAAAATAGGCTGTTTGGTTTCACTCTGAAAACCTTCGTCCCTGTAAATGGTGAAGGCCTCTGCAGATTTGTGCTGGACGCACGCTTTTGATAATAATGTTATCTGTAGACTAGAAATGAGTATGTTCGCTCTTTCTTAAAATAAGAATAGGGAAAATAATTTCCTAGTGGGGTAGGGGAAGTGTAAGAATTTAACCACAACACTCCCTTTGTGAGTAAAGCTAAAGCCAACACGTCACAATTTTTGAAGGAGGCTAGAGAAGTCCTGTAAAGTCTTCAGGTAGCTACCACAAAAGAAGTCTTCAAAACACTGTGGAATGGGTCAATTACAAAGAACTTGGCACATAAAATAAATTGCCTCTGACACAAGAGGCAGGTTTACAGCGGCAGACAACTCGTGACTGTTCATAGACGACACTACAGTAAATAAGCTATTTTTAGTGTAAAAGGGGGAGGGCTACAGGTTCATGAGATTGTTTATCTTATTTTAAGGAGTCAGTCTTTTAATGCGTGATGAAGAAGAAAAAGTTAGGCCTGTTGCAGATGTGCTAGCTCTCTGTGTTCTTTTATTGAGGGTGGGTGGGGGGGAGGAGGCAGGGGATAGTAGCCAGTAGCTAACAGCTTTCTAGTCTGTATCTTCCTTCATGAAGTTTATCTTCTGTGCAGGGATGGCTGTTTGTGGTGGCTGGTAAGTCACATAATTCATGGTACTTCAGCGAAGCTTTTGAGCTCATTGACAGCTTGCTTTAGATATAGGTAGCTGTTTACATATCTTGGGCAACTGAGATGGTCTTTTTGGACAAGCATCTGAATCTGGTCATAGTATTCTTACTTCATTAAAGTTATTTTTAAATATCGTTAACTGTTATCATAGCAGGCGGTATATTTGTGAGGGTAAAACTGGTCGGGTTTTTTTACACTGTATCTCTCCTGCAGCCAGACTGTTGATCTTCTCATGCAAGAGTCAGGATGTCGTTTAGAACATCCTTCTGCTACCAAATTCCGCAATCATGTCATGGAAGGAGAATGGGATAAGGTAACGTAGGGCTTATAGGACTGTATTAACCACTGTTATAAATTTATAGTATCTGTGAGAGAATTCAAAATCCACCCTCCTTATATACTTTTTTGTTTGTGTTTTTTTTTGTTTTGTTGTTTGTTTTTTTTCTTCTTATGCCAATTTCTGCAGGCTGAGAACGACCTGAATGAACTTAAGGCCTTAGTGCATTCTCCGCATGCAATTGTGGTAAGAGGCACACTTGAACTCTTTCAGAGCTGTATAGTTGGACTAATTGTAGTGGTGTAATCTTTCACTATGGAGTTGGTTGTCCATAGTTCTTGTTTTCTTTTTTGTTTACTTTAAGCAGCTTGCATGCTATCTCAAACATCACGCTAATCTGAACTTTTTTTATTCTTTTTTAGAATGTGAGGTAGGAAGCCCTAAAGTATTGAGGCTAATATTTGGTGTACTGAATGTTTAAACTTTGCTAAACATACTTAACTGATAAAATATAAATCCTGTAACAGTCCTAAAATAGGTCAGTTTCTGTAGAAACTGCCTATGTTGAATACTAATTTCAAACTTGAAATACTTCTCACAATCTCTGTGTTTATGGGAGTTAGGTTTTCTTGAGGGAAGAGGAGTTTAGAAATAAAATGCAGTAATACTAATGTGGAGTTGGCATTGTAATAACACATTACAGGAATATAGAGGCTGCTATAGACGATGAACAATACTGTTGCTTTTCCAGATGGCTTCTACAGAGCAAATGCATTTGTATTGCTGTTCGGGATTTTTAGAGCTTTTTCTCTTTGGCTGGCTTTTTTTTAAAGGTGAACCTAGAAATGAAGTGTTGGTAGATCCTGTGACTTGACAGTTATGATACGTGTTGTTATGATTTCAGGTGCTTTGAGGAAAGTGTTTCTTGGTTTGATTTTTCTATCTCGAGATGAAAATCATTACTTAACTATTCAAACAGCTTGTTCTGTTGTGTTTAAACGTTTATTTTAACGAAATGAAGTTAGAACAGCTACTGTCACTTAGCAAGAAAACAGTAGCAAGGCTTTTTGAAGTGTCTGTCTGTGACTGTAAACAATGAAGAATCAGCTGATGGCTGCTTAGCTCCACTTCTAGCTGATTCATTTGTTGTCAAGACAATTTCCTGTCTGGTGGGGGAGGGAGAGAAAGAGAACAGGAAGTGAAGTAGGAAAAACAGATGTTTAGCAAAACATCAGAGGGTACTTGAGAGAAGTTTACATTCTGTTCTATTAATTTGGTCAAAGCTTAGCACCTCTTGGTTAGACTAGTAGTTCACTTTCTCTTTTCTCAAAGACTTGATATACGTAACATTCACTGTTCAAATAGTTTAGAATATTGTATGCGGCTTTCAGTAGTTTGTGGAGACTGAAAGTATGAAACCACTGTATGTGAATATAAACAGTCATTTGAAGCAGATTTTCTCATGTTTCTAACTTCTGAAGTTATCAAGTTTCTCTGTAGTATTGAAGTGTTTTACATGTCTGGGAGTCAAGAGGTTTAACTGTGTATTAGCACTGTACTTTTTAGAGAACTTGAGGGAAAAGGGGGACATTTTCCTTCTGTTGTTTTGGAACGCTCTGAAAGCATGCTGCTCTTTAATGTTGATGTCTAACTGCCTGAATAAAAACTTGGTGCAATAAAATTACTTGGTTTAGACTGCACTTTACCTGAACCAAATATTAACTATTTTCTTTTTAAAGTTGTTCTCCTTTTAAATAAATTTCATGTAATTTAAAACGGATAACAGTATTAAATGTCTTACATGTGTGTTAGTAAGACAATACTGATTTGCAAGGATAAGTTGAGCTTGTGTGTGTTCCATTGCATGCACACCATCTCCACCTCCCTCTCTGCCTGGCTTTTTTGTACATGGTTGAGATCATGGGTGGGTATTAGTATAGTCAGCACCTGGAAAACTAGTGAAAGATCATTACAGGTAAGGAGGGATGCTTTATGCTCTGTAGGTAATCCCAGATGCAACAAAGTCAGAGCTAATGAAGATTATAAATGTCTTGATCAGGGAAAGTCCAAACAAAATGCTGCTGCAGGTGACTCTTTAAAAATAGAAAATTAGATTTTTGGGTTTCCTGACTCCTGATTTGTGACTCGTACTGTATGACTAGATGTTTCAAAAATGTGTGCATACAAGAAGAATGGGTACCTAAAAGTTTAGATGACACAGGGTATTTAACAAAGTAGGGTGTGTGTGTGTGTTTGGTGGTTTGGTTTTGGCTTGGTGTTTTTTTTTCTTCTTATAGTTAATATGACCTGGACAAAATAACCAGGATGCATAGCTGCTTTTGAAATGTGTGGTCAGTGAAGGGGATACGTATGTATTTTGAAAATTCTACTCCTGTTTTAATTTCCTTATTTCTGCAAAGTGCTGTAAGTTCTACAGATGAAAACACTAAACATGAAATGGCTGATCTGAATTTGTAAACCTTTGATGCTATGTGTTGGTATGTTGGGGGGGGTGGACAGTCTGCTATTTCTATTTGTGTCAACACAACTGAGTGCTATATACTGTGTGATTAGTCATGTTTACTTTTCTAGTGTATAAGATACAGCTGTCTTGAGACAATCTGTAGAACTTTATAGTTGATTCAAGCATGGTATTTTCCCTTGACTAACGCTTAGAAAATATCAGTTTCAAGCCAGCCTGAGGTTTTGCTTACTTTAGAGCTACTCAAGCATATTATGGCACCTATCTTGGGTAACTAATTGAACCTAGGAAGAAATCTGGAGACTATTCCTCTAGAGTCATCTAGAATATACTTTCAAATTGTCCTCTTTTTATTTTCATTCACTTAAATGGGACTTCCCCCCAGTTCTGGAGGTATACAGCCCGCAGCAGGCAATACAACAAAAAAAAGGGATTTGTATCTTGTCGTTTGAGTGAAGTGCTCCACCTGCCTGTATGGTGTCCCTCTTGCTACCAGTATTAAGGGCAGTTCCCTCTTGGAATGAATTACTCTTTAAGTGACAGGATTTAGTATGGTTGAAGTCTTATTAAATTCTATAGGCCAGAATATTTTCTGCCCTTTACATATCAAGTCTTACATTTAAGTTTTGGATGGTTTTTAAGTACTTTTATCAGTGTTTTACAAGACTATCAAAGTAATAAAGACTACAAAGTAATGAAAATTGGGGTCCTAGTTCTGCAGGCTATAAACAGATAGCTGCTGTGTTGAGTTCATCTTGAAACATCAGCTGTTAATTTCAGCACGTCTTTTAGTTACCTTCTTCATCTTGGAGAAGAGTTGTTTCAGCAGTGTTTACTTACTTTTTTGAACTCTTAGTACAGTAATAAAACTGTTGTGGAGCTTGTTAAGATATGCAGCTCAAAAATAACACAATAAATCTAATCCTAAAATTAGGTTATGCATTTTACTCTTTAAACTTCTGAAGATTTGCTACTGTAACCAGTGATCAAAATGGCCCAATTTCTTGACTGTGGTAGGATGCTTGTCCTTTTATTTTCACAGTTGCATTGCTGAGGCTTTCACCTTTGGTTACCCTAGTGCTGGTGAATCATGGTGCATGCAAAACTTCTTAGAATTTAAGATGCTGCAATGGGGTTTCCTACTAACAATTAGGACCATGAAGGAGTAAAGTACTAAACGTTCATGTTAGTAATCGAAGGCTGTAGTTTGAAGAAGGCGAAGTGCTAATATTACATTAAAAAAACACCACCACCACCCCCCTCTCCCCCCGTAAATCTATTAACTCTGTCTTAGTTTTGCCCCAGGGTGATCAGATGTTCAACTTCCACTTAAATAATAGCTTCTAGAAACAACAAAGTAGTGCGCTTTATCCTCATTCTCTCTATAGAGTTGAAAGACAGGATGAGGTGGTGATAACTGAACAAAACCAGCCAGACTGCAGTGCTGAAACTGTTGTATTGGACTCTTCCATGGGTCCTACAGGGTGAAGAATCTTTGCTATAAGCTAAGCGATGGTGGTGTCTGGATTTAAACTGTGCAACAGTGAAGGGTGTAATGATGTTGAATTTCCATTGCAAACACTGAGATGACAACAACAAATCCCAGGCACTTTTGTATGTTGTACATGGTATAATTTGGTTTATGATAATTTTCATTTCCCTTCTTTGGAAGGCAGCTGAAGAATATGGAGAATGAGTAAGCTGTTCTTGTGGGTGCATTGTGTCAGATTAGTTTTATGCTTGTTCTGTTCTATTTAAATAGTGGGGTTTGTCCTTTTACTTTACAGTTGCCAATATTACAAACAGCTCGCTTTCCTTCTAGAAGAGGTTGTTTGGGCTCTAGAAGGGAAGATGTACTCTAAATGGTGTTGTCTACCATAACAAGGTGGTACTGGACGTAATTAGCAGTACTATTAGTAGGGCATATAAGTAGTTGAGAGAAAATGAAGACAAAATTCAGTTGTTCAGTGAAATCTACTTGTCAGCAAAGTCAATAGTTGCACAAAAATAAGTAGTAGGAGGCTGTGAGCGTCCTGATATAAAAAAAAGACTTGAAATATGATGTCAGTGGAGTGTGACTTTTGCCTTAAGGAGGCTGTATTCATGCCATTGTTTATGTATGCTGTAGGGCAAGTTTTGGAGCAGTTATCAAAATAGCTTAGAAAATAAATTTAATTTCCCTATCAAGACTTTACTCTAGTCCCTGCCTTTTGCTAAAGATAAGTTACAATTTAAAACTGCTTATCTTTGATTCTAATTCTCTGTTATGTTAACAGTAGACTCCTGCATGAAGTGTACAGTACCGTGTTATTCTGGCAGCTTTTATATGCCTAATATGCCAAAGTCACACATGGCGCTGACTTTTTTTTTTTTTGGAAATTATACTTTCTAACCCAAAAACTGAAGTTATACGTCTTTGGATAACTTGGCAACAGCATTCTGCATGCTGAACAGTAGTGCTCCTGTAATGCTTCCATCGAATTTTTGGGACTGGCATTACAAAAATCGGGGTTTTTAGGGTTTTCTGCTCTTTGTACTTTTCCCCTTAAAGAAATGAAATTAACATGCCAAGTCCTAGAAGTAGGGAGGGAGAAAGATTTAATTCGATACAGTTACGGTTAGCACATTTAAGGGAAAGATGATACAAATTTAATAAATATTATATTCAGTGAATGGAGAAGGAAGAGTTGGAGGGAATATAGTTTTTATTACAAGCTGGAAATATCAGGCTATTTTTTATGTGGTGGTGATTGTCAGTGGGAGGTGACCAAAAGGAGTGAAATATGGTATGTGACTTACTACCTGAGCCTCTTCATGGGTCCTTGTGAGCACGTGCATAGTTGGGAGAGGAAGCTCTTATCCCTCCTGCTGCTAGTATATAAGCAAACAGCATGAGGTCTGCTGGCCTACTGCACGGAACCAACCACTGAGGTTGTAAATAATTGGGATATCTTTCTTTTGGTTTTCTACATGTCAGAACACCAAAAAATGTTGTCTCGCCTGTAAAAACTGTACAGTGATGCTCTAACAATTCCAAGTTCAAATGAACTAGAGAGCTGGATAGGGAATGTAATATGGTTTTGCCTGTTGCGTACGTGACAATAGAGTACTACAGACATGTTTGAACATAAATCATCTTTACCATGTAATGTTTTATGCTTCACAAAGCTGTGTGGTAAGTGAATAGCACTGTATGTGGAAACTTTATTCTTTTTGAAGAACTGAACATCTCTGGAAGCTAAAACTGCTTTATGTTTTAACTTTAGATTTTATATATAGTAAGCCTTAAACTTTCATGTAAACTTTACTAGGACAGGAGCATCTTAAATTTCCCAATTATCCCTCTACTTAAGGAGGCTAGCAGTGTGTTTGAAACTAAGTAAACATTGACCAAATATGAGCATGAAAATAGTGAGGTGCCTGAGGTCTGACAAAGCAAACGAAATCGGTGATTGAGTTGGTGGGGTCTTCATTAGAAAAGCAGATGTAATTTGCTGCACATAATCTTCATTCTGTTTCTCACTGATATGTCTAAGAATGTACATTTTCCTCTTTAATGTGGTGAGTCTTGTGGACCAGAAATGTCTTTTCTCTCTGATAACTGCTAACACTAGCAGTAAGGATGTGCAAACGCAGAATAGTTGGTTTCATCCAGAAACAATCAAACTGTGTTTCTACAAAATTGGTATTAGAAATTTCTAGGACTTAAGGTTTTTGAATATAGTAAATGAATGGCTGATTTTCTTTTCTTATCCACAGACATTTGTTGTTAGATTAGTAGGCTTGATTATTTTTTTAAAAGAAGACAACCAAAAACTGTAGAAGATGAAAGGAATGCTATGAAATAGCAGTGATTAATTCTGAGAAGTGAAATGATTCCTAAATATAGGAAACTATATTTTTTTTCTGTAATCCTGAAAAATGATACAACACCGAAGGAAAACAACTTAACATGGAACTACAAAATAAAACCTCAGGCAGTGTCAATTTGTTATTGCTCTATGTTATGCAGCTGCGTGATCCATGTCAGCTCCTATGTAAGCAGTATGAAAACTTGTTGAGTTGGCCTGTTGTGTTCTGTGCTGTCATGCAGTCTTAAATATGTGATTAGCTGCTTTTGGGTGGTTTTCTTGATAGAATGTAAGATTGGGAAGCCTATCTAATTCAGGGTTTGAAGAATGGTGACTGAAAAGGGAGTCAGTATGAAAATGAGACAAGTTGAAGGGGGGATCTGAGAAATGAGGTAGGAAGATACTTGGAGCCCCATAAGGCAGGAATGAAATTCATGGATAACTTAATTGCTGCAATGTTGTTGAAAACCCAGCAAAAAGAGTAATTGAGTAATGAAACATTACATATAGCTGTATTTCTGAAGGGCATAGTAGAATGGTTTCTACTGTTCTGTTTAGGCTCAAACGTTTTCTGAAACTTCAGTCAACCTTTTTCCCCTGACTGCTGCTTTCTGTCATGTCAGAGGATGAAGTTTTTGCTGCTGCAGCAGAAGTACCTGGAATACCTGGAGGATGGCAAGGTCCTGGAGGCACTTCAAGTTCTACGCTGTGAACTGACACCTCTGAAATATAATACAGAACGCATTCATGTCCTCAGTGGGTAAGTGTTTGGACTCTGAGAGCTCTTTCAGTGGAATTTTCTAAGGAATTCTATAGCTTTTGGTAGCTGACATTGTAAAAACTCAAACTGTATTGAAGATTGTTGATTAATCCTGTTGATTAATAAGCTGTAGTGGCATATGCTAAAATGGTGAGTAAAGACTATTCAGCAGACAGTGTTCTGTTTCAGATGCTTGAAAAGAACCTGATTATGATTTACTTTTCTAGTACTAGAACCCAAATTAATACATGCATATGTATGGTCATCTGATTGTGAGGATTATTAGTCTGTTATGTTATAGTTGAATAAGTAGGTGAATATAGTCTGGTTTGTTCATAGATGAAAACAAGACATTTCTACCTTCCCTGAAATCTGTGTTTTGTTTTCTTTTTCTATTGCCAATTTGTAGATACTTGCTCTGAAGAAGATGCATGTTTGTGTGGAATAGTTCCCTGCTTTTTTTCCTGTCAGTCTCAAGCTTAAGTCACCTGTTTCCAGTTCATTAAGAATGTTATGATATATATTGTGCTTAAAAGTGAAAAGAATGATTCCAGAAAGACTTGGTCTGTTGGTGTGTGTGCACTTTTTTAAACAGGTATCTGATGTGTAGCCATGCAGAAGACTTGCGTGCAAAAGCAGAGTGGGAAGGGAAAGGAACAGCTTCCAGATCTAAACTTTTGGACAAACTCCAGAGTAAGATGTTCTAGTGTTTAGAATTTATTCCCACCTCTGTAAATCCAGCACATCTTATGACATATCCCAGGGAATTGGTTTTAACTGCATTTGCCGGTGGTTGTTTTTTTATTTCCTGGTTAATGGGGATGCCTTTAGGTGCCTTTACCCTTTGGTCTTCTGTGTCTAACCTTTTGCTGTCTCTGATAAACTATTTGTAATAGGAGCTCTTATTTTGTAGCTCTGCTGCATACAGTAATAGTATAACTTGGTGATTAAATGTACGGTTCGAGGAGGGGCAGGGGTGGTGTTGTTGTAAATGCCAGCTATACTGAGAGGTTGAAACTAAGTGTGGCCTATAACCACTAGTGATACTAGTACTGGTTGATAGTGGTCTCAGACTGTGCTCTGAATTACAGTTTCTCCTCTCTCTTTCTTGTGGCTGGTGTAATACTATATATCAGAGTTGTAAAATCATAGTATTCTTTATTTTGATAGTCTTAATAGAGAATTCCTTAAATTAACACAGCTGATACTGTTTTATAATTTTACAGATTTTGTTAAATACTGGGGTTTGAGTTGGCTTGTGTAAATGGTGCTTGTTGGCCAGGACAATATATACTGTAACTACAAATACCTTGCATACAACTCTGCTTTCCAGAAGTTCATGCTTCTACTTCCAGATGTATAGCTGTAAATTTGACGAGCTGTGTGCACTCTTTTCCTGTAGCTTTTAAGCTTTATTTACGAAGGTCTCTTCCAGAAACACTCAAATCAAAATGCTCTTACTTGCAACTTGGTTTTGATACTTTTTTTTTTTTCTTAATAACTGTTTTAAAGCGTACCTACCCCCATCAGTGATGCTTCCTCCAAGGCGTTTACAGAACCTGCTACGTCAGGCTGTGGAACTACAACGGGACCGGTGCCTATATCATAATACGAAACTAGATAGTAATCTAGATTCTGTCTCGCTGCTAATAGATCATGTTTGTAGTAGGTAAGAAACCCTTGCGACTTTTAATATGGGCAAAAATATCTTTTCTTTGTGTTTTAAAATAGTCTAACTGTACCTACTGTTAAAAGGGACATGAAAATTATTCTGAGTTGGTTTAACAGGAGTTGACTGGGATAACTCAGTTCTTATTAAATGAGTAGTGGGGGGGAGTCAAGAAGGTATGTGTAAGAGACTTTGGTAGCTGGATATGGGGTAATGGTGTCAGACTGAAGCTTTAAAATTTTAATCAGATGGGTATGAATAGAATATATTACTGTGCTAATCCTTAGCCACTTGTTTCTTGTGATTTTGGACAGCCAGTCTCTTTATTCATCAACACGGGATTGCTGTGTTTTTTCACTGGCGAATCACTAGTATGTTATTTATCCAGACTCTGCCTTCAAGCTTACTGGAATGCAGAAAGCCTACAGAAGCAGACTTCATGAAGTCAGCTTTCAGCTTCAACTTCTAATAGTGGACAGTGAGGTGCTTTTAGACACAAAGGTTAAACCAGAGTAGAAGTGTGCAATAGACATTTCCGTTTTACATAATATATGAATGATATAAATAACTATTTTCTCAGATTTGTAAGGTAGCAGGAATTGAACGTCTCTTATACCTACATATATTAGGTCTTAAGACGCTCTGGATAACTGTTTTTTAACAAAACCAGTGCTGCTTCTGAATCTTCAGAATGCCGTATTTTAGTAGACTTGAAGCAGGAAGATGTTTGTTTTTAACAAATGACTGACTTGAGTGGTTTTTCCTCATCCAGCAAAACTCAGCTAAGGACCTAAAAACTCAGTGTAGCTTTTACGGAAAACTGCTGTGCATGGGGTAATAAGGGAATGAGGGCTAGGACACCTAGAAAATAAGGGCTGTATATGATAGCCTTATATGTTTGTTCATGTAGCAGGCTAACACTTGGGCTTACAGGGGAATTCTTTTCATGTTAATGTTAGCTCATCTGAGGAAGTTAATTTAATACTGATAAACTTCTTATAGAAACTTTCTGAACTCAGCTGTTTTGACTTGTGTTCTTGGGTTACTTGGAATCTGTTTTTAAAGATGCAGATTTCCGTAGTACTTCACTGTAGCCATTTAAGGTTTTAAAATTAATATCTTCAGCATTTCATGTATTCACATAACTTTTTTAGACTATTGTTTAGCTTGTAATTTTGCTACATTAATTCAGTAGTTTTGTGTGTGTGCGTGGTAATTTGGTTGTTTCCCATTTGGAGCTATTGGAAATTATCAGATACTGGAATTGTGGCTTCCCTACTTCAGAAGTGAGTCTTAAAATCAGACTAACAGAAAGAGATTTAACTTCAGTCTTTGCACAAGTCCATAAATTACATTGGATGTTCTGTAGGGGGTTTGATGTGATTAATCAAACCCCAAAGAGCATTCAAGCCAACTGTAAAGAGCATGGTTTACTGAAGTTGGCCTAGGTAGAGCTGGATATAAAAGATACTATATGCAACAAATCTGGACTTGAATTTCACCCATCTGAATCTATTTGCTGACATAAAAGTTTGGCCATAGTTTGGGTTTGTTGGGTTTTGTTTGGGTTTTTTTTTCACCTAATGTGGTACTTCCTAAGCTTGAATATTTGATATATATATACATACATAAATACTCATGACTACTTTAATAAAAAAAAAAAAAGGCAAAACCCCCCCACTTCAAAATAAAGGCTTCCATTCTGTCCTCAACTCAACCTATTGTACCTACCTATTGCAGGGGTCTGAGATCAGTATGTGGTGCGCTGTACATGCTGCCATGCTTGGGCATAATGAGGTGAGTTAAAGACAGTGGAAGCCAAATATTGATGAAACTGACAGAAGTAACAGTAGTCTATAGTTTAGACAACTTAAGTTCTGTACTACTTAAATGATAGAACACTGACAACTTTCCCTCTTTTAGTTGCAACTAATCTGTTTTGGACTTCTGGCATTATTTTGATCAAGCATGTTTGAATTGCACTAATAGGTAAAATGTTTAACTAAAACTTAATCACTTCATACGAGTGGGAGGTAAGAGGGAGAAACTGCTGGGAATGAAGGTGAGGTATTTCATCTTACTGTGCCAGAGATTTTGATAACAGAGAATTGATGCTTTTGGGGGTGGTCATTCTTGGTTTTTAGAGCCTTCAGCCTAGTTGGATGTTTTGTTTGGGTTCCCCCTGGAATTCTTTTGTCTTGCTTTCATGTAAATAAACTTTAGTCTGAGTTTACAAACAGTGAAGCCCAAATGAGAGGTGAATGCTACTGCTTTCTAGGTACTAGCTTAATGTGGATTTCTGAAAAAGAACCATTGCAGAAGTTGAGGAATAAATCTTCCATTGTATGTACAGGGAATAAAAAAGTAGCTGTTTGTTTTATTTAGAATTTTGAACTTCTGTAAATACAACAACAGATAACTTTATTAGATACTTTATTTCAGCATGTGAACAGCATGATTCAAGCGTGTTGTGCGAAAGAGAACAATTTGTAATGAAACACTTCAAAAAAAGAAAACCCTTTGAGCTACAATAATATCTAATTAGCAAAACCAGAAACGGTTAGACAACTGGTTTTGGTTTCTTGTTTTGAGACTGCTGCTATTTCCTTCTGCAGAAGGTTATTTAATGTATGCTTTGCTATCTGTGAAGTTGAATTTGCTGGATTGTATGTTTCATTAGTTAAGTGAAGAGAACTTTTTGTGTGAGTGCTCCGATCTGACTGGATTGTGAATAGTGTAATTCAATATTGGCATATGTCTGCAGCAGCTATATCAACTGTGCCTGTTACCCTTTTTAGGAACCTAAAGGCCTTACTATGAAAACTTTATACTCCAGAATTATACTGCTTGCTTTTCATTTCTACAAAACCTTGGCTGCTTTTCTTAAGCTTTAAAATACAAGAGCTATTGTTCTATAGAGTATTTTTTAAACTGAAATATGCTGAAAAGGCTTTCCTGGGACACACTGAGCCCCTTGTACTTTGTATGAGTTATGGATAAAGACTCTTTCACCTTCTAGAGCAAATTGCTGCTCTGAGGAAAAACATCAACCTATTACAATATGGCTAAATAATAACAAAATGCTCTTCCTGTAGGTACACATATCTGTGTAAGGGCTTGCCTATGTTCCTCTAGACTCCAAGGAAAACAAGGTCTTCTTTCATGGGTGGGGCTTTTTACCTTGGGCTCAGTGTTGTTCCAGTGGCAACTAGACAGCTCCTGGTCAGCTTAAAGTAGGAGCAGAACAGACTTGCGTTTCTCTATAAGCAAGTAAGTAGGCATACCCAAGGAACCCAACTACAGATATTTATGTATGTACATTTTGTTTATCCTCCTCTACCATAAGACAGGAAACGAGGGGCTGTGTGGTTGTTTAGTGCTGCTCAATAGCCTTTAAGCATGGACTAGGAAGCATCTTATAGCAAAAGAAAATGGACTGAGGGTGTATAGACACTGTGTTAAGCAGAACTTTTTCTAGCTTCTGGTAAGGAGTAGTTTTTCAGGTATCTGTCAGCCTGGCTGCCACCAAACTGTATTTTTAAACACAAATGTAAAGGAAGTAAGGTGGGGGGGTTTTAGGCCAGTATCTCCAGTTATAAGTACAGCTGTACATTCATGGAGACTGTCATTGTTACACTAGTACTGTTGTGTCCCATTAGAGTTGTGCTGGGCAGCATAAAAACTCAAGATAAGACTAAACCACTTGGGATCCCTGTAGTTCAAGAAAAAGATGCACCCTTTAGTGCATCTGAACAATGAACTGGTAGTTACTCCGGTATTGCTTATAAAAGCAGCCATCTGCTGTAAAAGCCTACATTTACTTTATATTAGCTCTCAAATTCTTATACAGTATGCAAGCTGTAAATAAAATAAAACTTGTCTCCAGTTCTTACCTAACTTAATATTATGACTGTTAGCTTTTCCTCAGTGTGTACCTAGAGTATTAAATATTAGCTATAGAGGAACGTTTAATTCTTCGGTAGTTTATCATATAATATTTTGTTTGCTAAATGCTTTATGTTTTACAAAATAATGTAGATTTTGTGAGGGAGAACAGTTCAAGTTGAAAGCTCATAATGACATGTTAGTTACGCTTAGATATTGTACATGGTATTCTGCAAAGAAAGTGAAAAATGGCACAAAATGAAGGCAAAGAAACTTCTAACTTATTGCAAGATCACATTCAAGAAAACAAAATAAGACTTCTTTTACTCGGCTTTTATGTAAGAATCACTTCTAAAGTCTTGGTAAGATATAGCTTAGTGAGTTAGATACTTAGAAAACCCCAACATGTAAATAAAAAATTGCACGCGAGGTTCAAAGAGGTTTGGACTCCAGTATTTTCTATACATCATAGAAGCGTATAGTAATAAGCTGTTAAACTCCGAATGAGGACAGTTTTATTCCAAGTTATATGAAAGCATAACAAATTGTGTGGAAAGAGTGGCATAAGAATAGTTCTGTGTTCTTATGATTAGTTATAATCACTTGGTGGTGTGAGCTTTTTACCAGATAAGGCACATCATTCTGTACTTATTTGAAGCAGCTGTTAATAGAGGAATTTTCTAAGTTGTCTGGTCTTGCATTTAAATAAGTTTGGTTTAGTTTTTACTAGCTTGATTTAAAAAAAAAAATCTTACCACTTTCTTATTAATCTGCGAATACATCCCTTTCTTTTCCCAGGAAACAGTTCCCATGCTATACACAGCAGATACTAACGGAGCACTGTAATGAAGTGTGGTTCTGTAAATTCTCCAATGACGGCACTAAACTAGCAACAGGATCTAAGGACACAACTGTTATTATATGGCAGGTTGATCCAGTAAGTGTGCAATGTGTTAAAATGTGTATGACTTGTCTTTCCCTTCCCTCTCTGCTTTTTCTTGCTAGTATGGTTTGATTTTTGTAGGACAGGCTAACATGCACTGTAGCCTGCTGACTAGGGTATTTCTCTGGGATGTAAACGACTGAAGATCACAGTCAGTGTAAGTTAGTGAAGGAGGACACTTGAAAACCTGATGCCCAAGCGTAAGGCTTGAACTGTTGGCTGCTTGGGGCAGGAACTTTTTGTGCCCCAAACCAGTACCATGGGGTAGAGCCTGCTGGTGCCCTCCAGGGGAGCTTCTCAGCTTGAAGGCCTTGCAAAGCATTGGGTGAGAGTGGAAGGAGCATGGCAGTGAGGAACCTTTCTTCTAAATCACTTAGAGTATTTCTGATCCATGTGTGTGACTAACCCCTTTCTGTTACCTTGTTGCTACTAGTACACTTGGATTTAAATACTCTGTCCACTTCACCATTTAGTACTTTATTTCTGAGTAATAAAATGGTATGTGCTAAACTGAAGTTGTATCAGTATACCACTTCATGCTATTTGCTGTTGTAAGATTTGCCTTGGCTTGAGATGAAGATTTAAACACTTGTCAGAATCCACTGACACACGGAAGTATACCCATCCATTTTCTTACAGACTGCGGTTTTAGGTTTTGATACTGATGTATGGCACTGTTTCTCTTATGAAATATCCTACAGCTACAAGATTTATCTTTCCTACCCATATCTATTCTTATGTAAATAAAAAGATTGAGCGGTGAATCTAAGACTGTTTTCATTGACTTGTAGAAGTGATATGAAAGTATGTCCGTATAGTTCATAACAACTGAAAACTGTGAATAAATTTGAACATATGCATACAATATTTGAAGTTGTTAATGCTTGTAAAACACTATCAGAAATAAGATTCTTACAGTCTTTTAACCACACAGCTGCAAACTGGTATGCTAAGTGGAATATGAAAGGTTTTTGCAGTTCCATACTGGCTTTCAGTAGGATTTGAGAGCTGAACTTAATCCTTTTCTTCAACTACAGGTTAGGAAGCCATATAATTTGAGTCCTTTAGGCTGTTAAGAAGATGGGAGAACTTAAAACCCTGCTCCATGTGCATAGTTGCTATATGGCCCTTGAACTAACAGCAAGTGCTATGGGTTTTTTCAGGCATAGAACTGTTCTGGTTTGTTTGTAACTGGAGCCAGTGTGCTATGGGCCAAGAGATGCATAGCAGCATAAGATGACTTCTGTTAGTTAGAAAATTATCTGTATTTTGTTTTGTGTGTTTGGTTTTTTTTTTAACAGAGTAATTCTGAGTAAATTAAGGATCAAATGTTTTTGCTGGTGATTTGTCACTTGATTGTAGAGGCACATCTTTCTTTTATATTGATCGGTTTTTAATACTCGACATCTTGATTAGCACATTTTATAGTGAATTGTTAGCTAATACCTGGTTAATCAAGCCAAATAAATGTTTTGTGAGTGTTTTAGGCTAACCCTTTTGGCCAAGGGTGGCTAAAGGAACAAAATCTCTAATAAATAGTTAGTGGGAAAGCAGCTTTGTAGAGTTTTATCTTCTGTATTTAAGTACTTTAAAAAAAAAAAATTGAAACCCTTTCAAGGAGGTGGATGCCTAAATAACATTAGGCCACATAACTGAAATGGTTCACTTTCATATTTGCCAGAGCATGTTTCTTGCATTTCCTGCAGCAGTTGACAATGTCTTTTGAACCATAAGTTTAATCAGGTTTTCAAGGCTTTGGGTATTTAGAATTATTCTAATCTGTATGGATAAACTATAGGGAAACATAAGTCCGACTGTCTGGGCAAGTGATGGGAGAACACTGTTTTAAATGAACTGTGTTTCTTCTTCCACACACACTTCATTTGTGTAAGAATCCTTAATTTCTCCCTTTCTTTTCTTCATCACCCCTCTTGAAGTGTAATGATGCTGCTTCTGTGTGTTTTCTTCAGTTCATACCATGAATTTCTTATTTCTTTTTTAAGACCCAGCTACATGTCTAAGCTGTCTTAACCCATGCTTCTGTTTTCAGTTTCATTTGTTCATTTCAAAGTTCTTCAGTGGACTCAGCAGCATTAAATAATGTCTTGGGTGAACTAGGGGTGTGTGTGTGAAATGCATTATTAGACTGTTACTAAGTGTGGCAGAATCTCTAGTGCACAAAGATTAAGCACAGTAGAGGTATCGCCTTGACTGGTATGCATCATCTTTGGTCGAGCAGTCCTTTTTGTTCCTCACAGAAGCCTTCTTTTTTTTCTGTACTTTCTAAAAACTGTTGACAGGTTTTTGGCTTTTCAGCCAAGGAGCTCAATTACTGCAGACTTAAGTTGATACCTGAATAGTTGTTTCTTCTACATAACAAAAATCTGGGAAGCTATATGTAAGGGATAGAAGTGCTGAGATTTCTTGTGGTGGTGGGTGGGAAGCAGATTGACTAAATTTGGGGACATTTCCTGAAATACCATTGACTGCTGTTTTAGAGCAAAACATGGTGTAGCAGTTTTGCTGTGTTTGGAGAGAAATGAGAGCAGCATGAGAGATAGAAAAAGCCACAAAGCCCTGTCATTAGAAGAGGAATATCCTATGTACCTTGCTCCTCATGAGTCTCAAAGGTGATGCAGGAGTGGCAGGCTACTTTAATCCTGATGTAAAAAGAAATCTATCAGTTGCAGGCAAGCTCCAGGATGCAAGATGATGTCAGACATGACTCGGTTTCCTTGCAGATCAGTTTAGCTACAGACACAGTAGTGTCTAATGCAGAGCAGGAATAATAATTAGAATGGAAAAGGGGCCTTGAGGGAGGTCCATTCATTTGCCCCTCTTTCTTTCTCTGTGTTTTGAAGGTTATTCTTGGCCCACTTGCTTTTGAGGAATTTAGTTGTTCTAGCCAGCAGAACCAACAAAGCTGCAGGCTGGCTGAGAGTCACCAAATCCCTCACAGCTGATCCCAGGAAACAGTCCTTTGTGTCTCTCTTTTCTTCTGTTGACCATGTTCTTTCTGTTTAGAATCAAGAGGTGCTCTGCTGATTAACAATAAAACAAAAGGAGAAGGGACAATTTGAGAAATCAAGCTAGGTTTTCAAATGAGTCACTCTTTGAAGAGAAGTAGGAGGTATAAACATTCCTCATGCAGCAGGGTGGAAAAAGGGGGAGGGAAGGGAGGGAGGAAAATCCACTTGCCCTTTTCCAAGAGGCTTCACAAAAATTGTCAACAGTTTAACAAGCTTGGTTCTACTTTCTGTATATCCATGTTGTTGTCAAGAGTCAGTGCTAATACTGTATTGAAGCATGTTTCTGTACTTAGGAAGCCAGTGTATGGTTGTTTCACAGTATCTAGCTGTACTATTTATTTTGATAAGCTGCTTGAAAGTCAAGTTCCTCTGACAAGGCAGCAGTAGAACAGTTGTAGCAGATACAAGATACTCTGCATGAGTGAAGTATGCTTCATTCACTAAATCTGGCAGAAAAGATGCAACAGCTTGCTGTAAGCAACACTTCTGAAATAAGAACACCTCTCAAGGAAGCTTTTAAAAATATCTTTCTGTAAAACTTCTTTCTTGAGCAGCACACACAAGATGCACTCAAGTTTATAAAAACATTGGCACTTGGAGGTTTTCCTTTCTCAGCATACATGAAGGTTTTGGTTCTCTGTTTAACCATAACAGGCTTCCAGCATGTCTTTACTTTTAAGAAAGTAACTTAATTCTGTAAAATATGGATAATGGTACTTTTGTATTCCAGTATACGTAGAGAGATTTGACACTACAGAAAATCTTCTATACTAAACCAAGCATAATGTAATGTACAACTCTGTATGCAACAGTATTTTGTGAGTTCTACATTCAGAACCACGGAAGGTTAGAACAAAAATACCTACAAGTGTTCTTCTTTTGCACATTGAAACTTAGAAGCTTTCATTTTATGGTCTTACTCTATAAAGTAGCAACTGCTTTTCCAGTAAGAACCTATTCGTACCTCTTGTAAAAGGCAGGTGCCAAGTTGCATAAAGCAAACTTGCCATGCTGTACTTGGACACAGTGTATATGTGAAATCTAGTAGGAGTTCATTTGCATTGTCTCAACAGAACCTCTCTTGTTTCAGGATACTCACCAGCTAAAACTACTTAAGACGTTAGAAGGTCATGCGTATGGTGTCTCTTATATTGCTTGGAGTCCAGATGACAACTATCTTGTTGCCTGTGGCCCAGATGATTGTTCTGAGCTTTGGCTCTGGAATGTACAAGTAAGTGGTGACTAAAGAGTAAAAAATAAAACTTTGTGGTCAGCATACTGCTTTTGTTTCAATATCTAAATACGTTGGTGTGAAAGAAGTAATTTCTACAAACTTGCTGTGCAAAGGTGTCAAGGTGTGAGTGTAAAGAAGACGCTGATCTCCTCCCTGCCCCCCCGCCCTCCACAATTTGAAAAAATGACTATGGCAGCCCACAAATTCTGTACTCAGTTTGTACAGAACTGAAATAAGAGTTCTAACTGTGTGGGACTGTGTAGCAATTCTAGTGTATCTGGTTACTGATCATTGCTGAGAAGGGATGGTGTAAATCCACAGGACCTTAGAGAGCTACTGAAGAGAAGAACAGTAAATTAATCAAGAGAAACAGGACAGAATTATCATCTAAAGGGAGCAATTGCTCATTGAAGGTTTTAACAAGTAGCAAAAGATACAAGCTGTTTTTACTTTGTGTAACCCTCCCAGTGATATTAGTGGAAGAAACACAGAGGCTTAAGTTTATGATTTCAGAACTTCATCTTTCAGTCAGACACTAGGGCATTTTTCCATTTCCTCCATGAACTTGAAAATCCTTTTCTGCTGTTGATTTTTATGGGCACTTGAGTTGATATAAAAGCTTCCCCTGCCTCAGTTGTGGCTTGTATAGTCTTTCTTGGGCTGCCTTGGACTCTGAACTAATTTAGTTTCCTAAAACAAAAACGTATTCCAAGGGTGAAAAGAAGGAACTTTTCTTCTGTTTAATTGACTAAATTGGCTCAGTGAAGAGCACTAGAGCTGGCACAACAGGACGGAGAGAAGCCCTTACTGTTTTGACAGTGGTAAGCCACTCATTTGCACTCTGTCTTGTGAAACAGTAGCATTATAAGCTGGGGATGAAGGCTGAATTTTGGCATGGAGAGCTCCAGCTCAGGGAGGAAAAAGTTGTAAATGCTCTGATACTCCCAACTTTTTGCTGAAATGTATTTATCATCTCTATTTTCTTGTAGTCTCCTCCTGGCTTTCCATGTTTGGCTTTTTTCATTTCATGTTGCTTCTTTCTCTCTTATGTATTCTTCCAACTTCTTTTAATTCTTTTCTTTACTCATAATCTTCCAGTTGTCTGATGCACTAACTAGTCCATCCCTCTTGATTTGAGGGACAAAAGAAATTGTCCCAAATCAAGTCCAGGGTCACTGTAGATGCTGAAATAGTTCTGCCTTTTTATTGCATTATTCGTAGGTTTGGTTGCTTTTTAATAAATATGTTGAAATATATGTACTTCCAAACACTATGTCTGATAAAATTATCGATGCCTTTTTGGGAAAGGGTTCTGGTTTAAGGCCTTGCTGCTTTTGTTTATTTTCCAGACTGGGGAGCTGAGGACAAAGATGAGCCAATCTCACGAAGACAGTTTAACAAGCGTGGCCTGGAATCCTGATGGGAAGCGTTTTGTAACGGGAGGTCAGCGTGGACAGTTCTATCAGTGTGTAAGTTCTTTGGATCTATCCCATTGAAAACAAAGCAAGAAATGGAAGTTTTGTCATGGTCAAATCTGAGTTTCATGTTTTTTCACGTGTACATACACTAAAACTTCCGATCCTTTGTAATTCAAAGAACCAATACGTTAATGCTAGTATTTCAGCAACACTTCCGTATGTAGCAGTTAGAAGGGTTCAAGCATCTTTTGCCTGCCTAAAGGAGGATCTGTGGGCTGGGAATTTTTTTTCTTAGCTGCTCTAGAAAATACACTAATAAACAACAGTGGCTTTGTCCACAAATATTGTGTATTCCATAGAGTTTTGACTGTGTCTTTCATAGTTTCAGCATGCTGTCTTTGCTTAGTTTAAACAGAAATTTGAAACCCTCATTACTTGACTGGTGTTGATTTTGGGTGGTGGTCCACAGTCTCACCCTACTCTTGATTATTTGTCAGCTGAATTGGTGCCCAGAATAATAGTGCAGTATGCAAGCCTCACTCACTGCAAAGGTGAGCTCTGTGATGTGACATAGATTGCACATCACGTGTGAGAAAATAAGTGATGAAAGGGATTCTCAGCTCTCCAGGACAGATACCTACAAAAGCCCTCAGTTACGACAATCAAGTCCTAGTTCATTAAGTCTCTATTTTACAGGGTAAGATTGCTTTCTGTAGCAATTGTCTGAATAGAAGGTGAAAAAGATACTTATGTCACACTCCTCAGAAGTCTGAGACTAACAGTTCAATTTTTTTTTTTCTCCTCATCAGGATTTAGATGGTAATCTCCTTGACTCCTGGGAAGGAGTGAGAGTACAATGCCTTTGGTGCTTGAGTGATGGGAAAACTGTTCTAGCATCGGACACACACCAGCGAATTCGGGGTTATAACTTTGAGGATCTTACGGACAGGAACATGTAACTACCTCTTCCTTTGGTTTTTAATTCCTGGTTCTTAGTGTCAGAAGAAGATTGAGGAAGGGTTTGTGGGGCAGGATAGGAAACAAGTTATTAAAATGCTCTCAGTATTAAAAGGAGAATAACATGGGACAAGAATTAGTGAGTTCCAGTTGCAGCAAAAAGCATTAGATTAAGTATTAGAAATAACTTCCGAAGCATTGGAGTAGGTTTCTGGTGGATGTTTTGACATTTCTGTCATCAAGAGTTGCCATCTTCTCAATTCCTGGCTTATTTTAGTAGGTCCTGCCTTGAAGTTAGGAGCTGGATTTGAGGTCTGAAGTCCCTTTTGGTCTTGGCATTTGTCATAAGTACAAGCAAACTATTGCAGACCTGGCTTGTATTGACATATGGAGACATACCTAACTTCCAATTCATAACTGTCTCTCCCTGATAATATTGCAGAGACAGTGCATGCTTTTTGTTTTGGTGTTGCATCATTGTTTAAGCATACTCTTAACACTGATGTGTCTTATAATTTCAGAGTACAAGAAGATCACCCTATTATGTCATTTACTATTTCAAAAAATGGCCGTTTAGCTTTGTTAAATGTAGCAACTCAGGTGAGTTGGTGATGATAAATGGAAATGCAAATGCAAATAAATCTGCTTGCAACTGCTACCTGCATTTAAATATTTTGATGTGCATTGGAATGTTTGATAGTAACCAGTTGTATTTCATGTAATAAGAAGGACGTAATATTCATAAATATAGCATGGCCTTCTCTGACAAGAAGGCAATCTTATTCTTGAGACCGATTTTTTTGACTGATTTATAGTCAAGAGTTTCATACTTTGAAACGTGTACTATTAAATGTTAATATCTGGCTATTGCATTGAGAAGCCAGGTACAGCAAGAATTGTGGGAGGCTGACATGTCCGGGGGTGTGAGAATTAGGTTTTATTTATTCTACTTTTGGAAACTTGGGTAAGAATAGGAGCTTTCAGAATGGAAGGGACCACAAACTGGAAATTTAATCTAGAAATCTGGTGTATCTTTTAGTGTCTTAATCTAGTAACAGTACTGAAGTTGGCTGAGGTATTGTACTTTCACCATGTTTAATTTTTTTTTTTGGTGTTTCAAAAGAATGAATTTCAAACAACCTCTTAAAGTATGTTGTCAGCTAGATAGGCTTTTTTCAATGCAATGAATTATGTTTCATGATAAAATAACATTCTTTATACTTCTTATTCCCAGGGAGTTCACTTATGGGACTTACAAGACAGAGTTTTAGTGAGAAAGTATCAAGGTGTTACACAAGGATTTTACACAATTCACTCGTGTTTTGGAGGTCATAATGAAGATTTCATTGCAAGTGGCAGCGAAGGTAACATCATTCCCCATTGTGCAGAAAGCTGGAACACTGTATCCTTCCTATACCTTATTTTTATAATGTTGTTAGCAATTGTAATCTATAAAAGCAAGCAACTGGTTCATTAAATAAGTTTGAGGAGCACTGAGATTGTGGCATACTTCAAGAAATAATTGTATGCCAGCGGAAAGGATCTTTTGAGAGGATGGTAGTAGTAGAAAGCATTAATGTCTCTTTTGTGTTGCTCCTCTAAAGCAAAAGCATCTGCACAGTTTTAATTAGAAGTGGGTGGGGTGTTCTTAAGGCTTTTTCTTTTTGTGGTATGATACTTAGGCTTATGTTTTGAATCAAAAATACTTCTGGGGAGTAACAGCTTCATTTGCCTGTTGAGGATATAGGTGTGGTGAGTTTTATTTTAATTTCAGTAGAGTCATCATCTTAATTAGGACGGAGTAGTCTCAAATTAAGCAGTTGTTGACATACCCTGGTAGGGTTTCTTGGTGATCAAAGGCTTTGTGGTATGTTTTTATTCAACTGTCTGTGGCAAGAATAGAAATTAGTTAATGGTTTATGTCTTGAATTCGTTCAGTTTTGTCACTGATGTAATGCTGTCACCTCCTGTGGAAGTCACTTAAGATTCAAGCCTATGCAGGGCTAAGAATTACACTTGGTATGTGTAAGCAATCACTGTTAGTACTATGTAACTCACAGCTGTTAGGAAATAAGGTTGGCCAGGACACTTATTACTGTCCTTTTCTGGAAATTACCAAATATGTCTAAAATGAAACCAAATTTCACCCTCTGACCAGACCCAATGGAATATGACTGAAGGACAGCACCTCCAGTTCTCCAATCCAGTGTGAACCTCTTCTCATGGTTGAACAAGGTCCTTGGTTTGAAACCCAAGTATCTGAAAGTTCAGTATTTGTGTTGAGCCATGCTGATGTGCATGTGTAGGTGTACATACTACAGTCCACCAGTCCTTTTTTTTCCCTGTTTTTATTTATTCTTTGCTATCTTCATTGCCTAAAAATTACTGAGCAGTGGTTGAAACTGATAGCACTCTATTTAATAGATTTGGCCTGTCTGAAGCTGTTGCCTCTCTGCGCTGGATTGTCGCAAATGTGGTTACTGAGAAGGTCTATGTATTTTAAAAAAACAAGCAAACAAAACAAATAACATCACATTGTCAAAGCCTTTTTTAAAAAAAGTAATAGATTGATTATGTTGTCACAACCTCTTAAAGTATGTTGTCAGCTAGATAGGCTTTTTTCAAATGCATCAGTAAGAAGAAAATGGAGGTCTCTTTCTGAGAGGGAAATTGACTGCTGCCTTTATCTAGCTAACTTGTTTTTTCCAAAACAAAATACAGGCATTCTGACAAGCACCAAAATACTGGTTTGTGTTTAGGCTTTGATTCTCCCAGACAGCAGAGGCTTGCATGTCCGGTGTTTAAGCAGAGAGTGAATTGTGTTGTTTGATGAATAGCGTGGATATGTAGTCTCTTGAAATCGTAAGTGGAATGTAAACACAACCATAACATTTGCATCAATACAAGTATATATAAAGGTGGTACACTCAAATGATCTGATTCAACAGAAGACAATTCAGTTATCACATGGTTCCATGATGCTATTCTAGCAGGTAGGTCAGAGAGCGAGTTTGTTTTGTGAGGGGCTGGGAAGAGGAATAGAGGAAGATTGGTTTGTTTGCTAAGCCTTCAGAATGACATCTACACTAAAACCTTTCAAATAGATTAAAATACTTTCATTTGATATATTAGACCTAAATACTAGGCTTTTGTGTAATACTAGTAATAAATACTTGTTCAGTTTGTATAGCTCTGTTTCTAGGAATGTCTTTGGAATATTCCAGAGGACAATCTACAGACTTGTTAAAGGCTGCTAGTCTACAGTTGGCAGGGGCAGGGTGGGGGGAAACAAACACCTTTAGTAATTTATTCTTAAATATGGTTGGTTATAAAGCAGGAACACTTCTTTAAAAATTGCAGTGGAGTATCTGAGCAGTTCACTATTCTATTTCTAGCATGTTGCTAGAAGTAATTAAAAGCTTTCTATCACAAAGTAAGATCTGTAGCATTGTTTATTGCATCTACTTTAATATGTACAAATTCATATCTTTAAATACCGCACAAGAATTAATTGTTGCTAAAGACAGTAATAGCTCACAATTTGAGACATTAACCTTCGTTGCCCTCTCCCATTTGCTCTGCTTGCACTTTCACTGGAATGTTTTACATCTTTAGTATCAAGATGTATTTCATAAACTGCAGAGCTGTGATCTTATCTAGTACTCATCAACAGGTGGTAGTTTTAAATATTCTTAGTACTCATGACTTCATAATGCATATACTAATCTGTAAATACAATTGTTGGAGGGGAAAAAAAAATCTGCAAGACTTCATTTTGAGTAAGATTACAACTCTGTATCTTTACTTTAAGACCAGCTTGGTTTTTCTCTTTAGCCATGTATTGGCTTCTTTGCATTGTAGTCAAACGTTTTTCTTCAAAAACCAAGCTTAGTAGACTTGCAAGAGCTTTACCCATATCCTTTTGATCACTTTTAGAAGAAAAATTTTGTTAGTGCTATTGCACATTCAACAGACATGGGTTTTAGACATGGGTTTGACAACATTAATGGGTTTTTTAGTTGCTGAGAGCTTGCGTGAAAGTGCTGTTTGATATGACAAATCGGTCTGTGCAGAGCACTGTTTCTCACTATGTTTTTTTAACGCATATTTTATTTAGATCACAAAGTATATATTTGGCACAAGCGTAGTGAGCTGCCAATTGCGGAGCTGACAGGGCACACGCGTACTGTTAATTGTGTGAGCTGGAACCCGCAGATTCCATCCATGATGGCCAGCGCATCTGATGATGGCACTGTTAGAATATGGGGACCAGCGCCTTTCGTAGACAACCAGGATATTGAAGGTAAAAAACAGAGCGTGTGTGTGTCTGTTTTCCAATTACTAAAAGCTTACATCAGAGGCAGTTGGTTTGGTGGATTTACTTTACCATAAATAGGATAGAAAAATGCTTTTAACTCTTGGGTTAGAATAACTCGTTTTACTAAAAAAGAAGTTACTGGGTTTTTATGCATGGCTGTTGATTTTTATCTAAGTTATTTATGTTTGTGAATAAAAAGGAAACAACTGGTATATCCAAAATGATATTCAAATTTCTGACATAGCCCTATAGAAAACTGTGGTGTCACTAAGACCTCAGGATTATATTAATTTATTTATGTAGACTTCTTAAAAATCTTGCCTCCAATGCTTGAGGCTTAATAACATACAATGTTATTAAAATCTAAATAATGCATTCTGACCACACTGCAAATTGAATAATGGTATTATAGTGCTTACAAAGGGAATCTCCAAAGTCTGGAGAGAGTGAAGTTTCGCATCATAATATCTGTAAGCAATTGATGCTTTCCTAACCATCTGCAATCATCTGTGTCCAAGAGAGACACACAGTGCAACTTTTTTTGCTGCCAAAATGCACAGTTGTTCCCAACCCTTCTTACCTCCCTGCCCAGAACTGTTAACGAGATGACCACTGGGGGTTGTTCTGCAGTTTATAGGCTTCTGTCATTACACATTCAACCTTGCGGTAAAGATTTACAGTAGACATTAAAATTAAATACAGTATATCCCATTGCCACAGGACCTTGTGGCTAGTATGTTTGGACACGAGTTCAAGGGGAACCTGGACAAAGTAATGAAAGAGAAACCCCATTGAGGGCTGCTACATAAGTAAACGCCTCTAGTTCAGAATGTCCCTTAGGTGAAAATGGCTGAAAGTTGGAAGGATATTAGGGGGAAGAATTACCTCCTCTCCCAGCTCTTGTGCTTTCTGACGCATCTGCTTCTGGTCTTGGACTAGGTGGACCAGCCTGGCCAATCTCCTGTTTGTAATGCTTTGAATGCACCCATAAGGACTTACAGCCTATCCTCCAGTTGGTTTTACTTGTGGTTTTGTTTGTTTTTCTCCAATTAGCTGCTTGCTCACTCTTTCTTACTTCCTCAGAAGATGAGCTAGTAAATGGCATAAAAAAAATAGAAAATTAATTTCTCACAGCAGTGCTTCCACAAGAGGTGTAGGTGCATGGAATAATACCTAACAACTTAGGAATCTTAAATGGATGACAGACAGCTCTGTAATTAGCACACTCCCCTGGGACTTGAATGCAAATGTGTGTTTTTTGAGTACCAACACCTAACATGCTAGATTAATCTCTAAATTAATATGAATAATGAATCTAAAATAAGTAATTTTTAGCATGGGATTTAGCTACAGCATAAGATCCACTAACTAATGCATGTTCAGTAAAGCTTCTGTAAATACACTGTAATAATGACCTTATAGAAATATTAACTATTGATAAGATCTTCAAGATGTGATTTCTTTCTCTTTTGTTTTTGCTCAGAGGAATGCAGTAGCATGGATAGTTGATGGCGAATTTGGAGGAGACGACTTCAGTTTAACTTAATTAGTCGTATTTTAAATGGCTTGGGATTTGGTGCAAACAAACATGATTGATAGCTGGACAGACATGCTCGTCATGAAAAAGAACCATTTCTGAAGCCCAGTTGGGGCCAAACATTTACCACCTTGCTTCATAGTAACCAGTCAAGATGAAGCACGTCGTTAGAACGTTGTTGGACACCGTGTTGAAATTACCCCCCCATCGGTTGTGAAGAACTGTGCTACATTCAGGCTAACCATTGAACTCAGTATATATATTTTTCCCCCCTGCCTTTTTGTCTGGCAGGCTACTGTTCTTGTTGCTCTTCTGTGTAATGAAGTTTAAATGCTTGTTTGGAACACTTTATTTAACAGTTTAGAAGGCTTGATAGAAAGAGTGCTTTAGTCTGAAGAGTATACATTGGATAGGAAAGTATTTCCTTCTCTTGTTTCTCAAGTCTCTCTCCGCCTTACTTAGCTTGAGATCTTTGCAGCTTGGTTCATGGATTCTAGCCTTGCCCGTTGCGCAGTATATATAAATTGAGATGATAAACCAATGAACTATGTCAAAAGCACTCTCAGTATCACATTTGACAAAAAGTTTTGTACTTTTCACATAGCTCGTTGCCCTGCAAAGGGGTTAACAGCACAATTTTTTAAAAATAAATTATTTATAGGATTAAAATGACTTCATTTGTATACATTTGGAATTAAAACAATGCAGGAAGTGTTGTGAAACACGGTATCACTGATGCTTTTCCAGAGTGTCTTGAGACCCAATCAGAAGCAGTGGCTGGAAGGAGCTTTACATAGGCAGTGAAGCTTGTTTTTCATGGAGGAACTCACTGTTCATCTTAACAGATAAACTTTATTACTTAGAGAAAAAAAAAATCGTTCAAGGGTGCACCACCAGACTAAGAGTTTAAACAAGACAAGGTCTTTTTGGTTTTTTTAATTACATAAATATATGCAGCAATGCTGGTGTAAAAGGTAGACTACACTTCAAGGGAAGAATGTGTTGAAAGTCCTTTCTTCACAAAGTCAACATTTTGTAAAAGTAATTAACATACAAAGCATAATTAAACACTTGTATTATGATGGAAATTTTTCTTTATTTGATAAACAAAGGTGTATAGAGTTTCTTTTTGAGAATATACTTCTAAGTTTGCAGATTTAAATGCCTCTCCCAGACCTTGTTGCAAGCTGGTGCTGTGAACATCTAGACAAATCTAGGAATAGTTCCACTAATACCCCATGTTAAGAAAAGAGAAAGACATTTATAATTTAAGTATTTATTCTTTTTGATGTAAACAGATGGCTTGGCATCTCTGTGCTTCTGCACTACACACAAATTCATTATGGGGATGGCACTGGATTCCCTATTGCCACCTTGGGTGGAAAGGTAATGTTGGTACTGCTGTAAAGTAAAGAGGGAGCAGGGAAGGGCATGCCACCAAGAACTGATGTGAACAAAGTGTGGACTTCATCCTTTAATGAGATAATAATCTAGTGTCCTTATTAGTCATGTGTGGAAGAAGGGTGGGGGAAGGTTTGCCGGAGTTGCTGGGAGAAGCGTAGCCACTTTGATGAATGGGAATGTGGTGTTTAACATAAACAGTCCCTTTTTCTTTCCCAGAAAAACAAAGTGAAGCTTAGCAGGTTAGATTTTTTTTTTTCCTAGATTCCAGCCATCAGGTGGTGGGGTTTTTTCTTGCCTTGTGTGTAAAGTTAAACATGATTTAAGATTCTGATACTTTGGTTGAGACCAGCCCTGAATCTGACATACTCCTCTTTTAGTACCTCCAAAATGAATTAGGAACTTAACATTCTTATCTTCAGTCTAGTACATTTGTCTTAAAATTAAGGTGAAATTGATAGCAATTACTGTTCCACAGTACTGGGAATACATGTGTAAACTTATGACTACAAATCAGTTCCTTCTTCCATTAGCTAGTTCTAGAGGAAGCTGTTTGTCTCTCTTCCTAGTTACAGACAATGTAAGATTAGTCAGTCTTGTTCCTGTGGCATCGGTGTTGCAGGGAAACGCAATTTCCTAAGGTCAAATTTGACTAAGCTAAACCTTTGGGTTTTAAATAAATATTAAGTATCTAAATTGTAAACAGTGTTTTATATGTTCAAAACATGGTATAATTCATAAGCAATACCAGTATGTGAGTCTTTGGAAGCTACCCTAGTATTGTCTTAGTCTGGAACTTATGTTTTCAAACAAAACATTATTTAGGGAGAGTGAAGAGAATAATCCTGGTTTTAATATCTCTTAAAGTCTCATACAATGGTCTGGCACTACTTGCTTACCTCATACTCATGGAACTTCAGTCGGAACTTCAGGCAGGGGGTGAAGGCTGGATCAAATCTCAAGTTTAGATTTAAAGTCTCATATGGACTTCAGCAGGCATTTTTAATGTGGTGGCCGTATCGAAACAAAGTGAGACTCCTTACCTAGTACAAGCTGTGCATGGGCTGATGCCTACTTTCTGCTACAATGCATTGTAATTAGAAATTTAAACTTAGTACTTTTACCAAAATACTGCCCCTCTGTTCTGGGGTTTCTCTTCTGGACTTGGTTTGTACCTCTAAAATACACTTCAGGTATTTAGAAGCAGAGTTAGGGAGCAGCACGTGTTCTGATATCTCCGCTTTAGTTTTGTGGTGCAACTATGCAATGTAAAGGAAAGCTCCATAGAGGTGGCACTGTGTCCAGAGTGTCTCAGTAACAGCGTATTGCATAGCTGTCTGCTGCTCATGGGTGATGAGCAGAGATGAGAGAAAGGTGAGAGTGATCTTCATTTTGCCACACTACTTGGTCCCACAGTAAACTGACATTATCGATCTAGTGGTAATGACTACCATTCCAACCTGTAGATCAAAGAGGAACCTGAACTATTTCTACCATGTCACGCATTCACAATATGTGAATTGAAAAGTACCAATACTTTTTGTACACTGACTATGAAATGAGGCTATGGGGGGGGGAAAACCAAATAAGTTTGCTCATTTGCAACATGTTGATTTCCATGTGCTTAAAAATGTTCATAGGCTGGAGTCTAAGGCTGGAACAAGTACACACCCACAATACATCACTGTATTTCTAGTCAGCAGACCTGTCGTTTTAGAGAGGAAAATACTGTAAGCATGTACTCCTTTTGTAACTTTCTCTGGTCAACTGTTGGCTTAAAATATTCACAGTAGCCCCAGGTTGTTGTCAAGGCAGATCTTTAAAAAAATTATGCTGAAGCATTTTATTATCTGAATGTTCTTTAGCTGTTCAGGTAAGTAATTTTCAAGGCACAATGGAGCACAAAAGGGAAAATGCTAGATCTGTCCTTGTTTTGGAGGGGAGGGTAGTGGGGGGAAATGACACCTTTGTTTTAAATTCCCTCTGTCTTCTAAAGTTCTCCAACTTTAAAGTAACTTCTTTTTATGATTAGAGCAAAGATGCAAGCTAGAAATCTGTCCAGATCTTGCCAGTTACTTCTCAACTTGGCTTCAAACAGGTAACGTTTAATAAAACACAGTATGTTGTTGGGAGTTTGTGTCTAGCTGTATACTTTTACACTGCTGTGATACTCCCACCCAAAATCAGTTTTGAAGGCTTCCTTAGCAGGAAACTGCGACTCCTACAATTAGCTGTAGTTTGAGGGGAGGTGTTCTAGACCCAAATGGGGAGGGGGATAGAGAAAGAGGAATGGATGTAAAAAGCAGGATTTACTGACCAACAGACAAACTACTGTAACTCAAGGGGGAGGAGGAAAAATGCACTTTCAATAGTTTGTCCATATTTTTAGCTACAAAATAAACTTGTATCTAATTTTTTTGAGACAACTATTAAGAGGAACACCCATCCCATAAATGGCTAATGCTCCTTTTGACCTCCTCCTGTCTTTTCCACATTGGCTTGAGTCCATTTTCAGCTGCCATACTTAATTTTGAAAACTACTTTTAATGATGTTTAGAAAGAAAAAAAAAAAATCATTAACTCTGACACTTTTTAAAACAGGGTGGACTTAATTGAAGTGTGCAGTGTTGAACTACTGCTGCAGTAGCTGCCTCTAGTTGTTGAAATAAACTGTAGACAAGTTTTCTGTCTATTAATCCAGATAATCTGGATTCAGTAAAACGTCTGTGAGAGTGTTGCTCCCATCAGGTATGAATGTGTGTGTGCATGTGTTCCATGAACAGACAGAGAACGAAATGTTCTAGGTACTTGTCATGTCTTATTGCATACTTTAAGTCGTGTGTATGTGAAGTGTCCTTTGACCGGAAGGTTTTGGTTAATATCAGTATATTTTTATAAATTTGAAATTCATTGTGCCCCATCTTTTTTCTTAAACATTTTTCATTGTTAGGGTATATGTGCTAGATTTGAATCTTTAACATTTTTAGGCACAGATGGAAAAGTTATTGGCTCCTTGAAAACTTATGGGACAAAATGGATCCTCAAAGCATGTATGTACTTACAAACCAAGCTGTAGAGATCAAGAAAAGAACTTTATTGTTGATCTCAAGATTTCTAAATTGTCAAGATTTATATGGAGTTGTGGTGGAACTAGTTAACACTTAGAGCTTTTGGTATGTAATGACTATTTGCTATGGACTGATATTAAATGTTTCAAAGGATTGCGTTCTTAAACTTTCTGGATTTTTGTTACTCCTCGGATTATATTAAGTAGTTAAAAATTTCTTTGCTATATTACATTAAAAACATAAGAACTTTGGGTCTCGTATTTATTTTCACTTGTTTTACTAATTATTTACAGAACACCGTTTTAACTTTTTTATTTTATAAACGTGTAGTATTTTAAACATATCTTTAAAAATTGTTCAATTGGAACTACATTAACTTCTGATTTGTTTTTATTAGGATTTTTAAAAAAAAAATTACACTTTTTCCATGTTGGTGCACAGCACTTAACAGAAATGTTTGTATTCCCTTTCTTTCAATTCAATAAACAGAATAAATAACTGGAATGAATAGTTCTTAGTTTCCCTAACTTCACTTATGACTGACTTGGATGTTAATTTCTTGATCATTAATTATAGATTTCTTCCATATTTGTAGTATTTCACTTCCTTGCTAGGAAAATTAATTTGTGGCAATTTAGCTGCAGCTGAATTCAGTGTTGTGTGCAGGCTTTCCATTTTTTTATGTTTGGCTCTAATCTACCTCACACTTGCGTTTTCACCATACCTTTAGCAGTTGACTTGCCTGTGTCTCGTTCTGTGCTTATCTAACTTGTTGAACATCTGCTCCTTTGAGGCTCCATGAACACCTCGATTCCTTAATGCTGGAGCTTGCTTAAATACTGGACATGGGTCTCTTTAGGTGATTGGTGGGTTTTGTGGGGTTTTTTGATACTTCATATTAAGCAGGTGGTCCTGAAGTACTTGCATCTTCTGCTTAGACTCTCTTAAACTGGCTATCAGGGACCTCCAGACTTCTATCTGAAGCTGACCTAAGCAGCTTTTGTGGCTGAGAGCTCTCGAAGCTACTTCTCAACTGTTGCCTTTGTTCCCTCCAACTAAGCCTACATTCTTGTCCCTCCTTCCCTGTGCCTTAAAACAGGACCTCATCTTTGTCCTGCATTTTAGGCATTTTTTCATTTGGCTCTAGCTAATGTTCTGTTAAATGAAAAGCTGTGCCTAAATTTGCCCTCCCCTTCCTGTAGCTTTTCCAAACTCAAACCTTTTGCTGAAGTGCATTCAATTTTTTAATTCTTTGAGCTTCTATATTGATTAGAAGGTCTTTACTCCCTCTAGTAGCACCTTTGTATTGATTTTATTCCCTCTCTTACAGTTTAAGCAGTGTATAGATAATTATGGCTTAAATGCAGCTGCAAACAGAAGGGGCATGCCTTACTCCTTTCCATGTGCTGCTTCCCTTGGGTACTAGGATTTGCAGGAGGGTTGCTAGATTGTAGAACCACTTCAGCCATAAATGATCCACACAGCGGATAAAGGAAGTTAGTTTTTTTGGCTCGGTTTGTTACTGTGCTTAATCTGCTGTCCTGTGTCTGCCTTTAACTGGTGAGAAGAATGCAAGAGAAGCAGGTACATGATTTCTATTGAACTGAAATTTCAGCATA